GTGCTGAAGTTGTTACACGTTTTTTAACACGACATGATCTTGATCTTATCTGTCGAGGACATCAGGTTTGAATTTAAATGAAAAAAAAACACACACATTATTTTTATTGTGTTGAATAATTTTAGGTTGTTGAAGATGGTTATGAATTTTTTGCTAAACGTCAATTAGTAACAATTTTTTCTGCACCAAATTATTGTGGAGAATTTGATAATGCTGGTGGTGTTATGAGTGTTGATGAGAATTTAATGTGTTCATTTCAAATACTTCGACCATCAACTCAAAAAACTGTGCAAGAAACACAACCAAAAGGAGCAATAGCACATACATCGTTTCCTAAATCGACATCATCTATAAAAACATCTAATGTTAAGAAATAAGAAAATCTTATCATATATCAGAATAAATAAATATAGAATTGTATTGCTAATTATCGAATGTAATAATATGTATCGACGAACTTTTGATTAGAAATCCACTTAATAAAAATAATTCAGAATAAAGAAACAAACTGTCGTAGAATCTAATTCGTATACAGTATAGCCTTTCTATAGTGAACACTCTTCGGACTTTTCAACAGTATCCAATATAACGAGGCTAAATCTTTTCTAAAAAGCAGCTTTTTACAAGGAGCAGACATGTTTTCTATGTATCTGAATGGTATTATTGAATAAAAAAAATTAACTACTGCTCATTGTTATTTGTCTTTTTATGCATATTTGTTCTTGGAAAATTAACAATGGTTAAAAGATAGTAAACTCTCCCTATCATGAACACCATTGGGACTTTTCATAAGTATTCACCATAGTACTCTATGATGATGTCCATCATGAACGGTTTTATCATTTTGTTTCATTATCGAGAATCGAGTACCTATTTCATGTATCATATATTTTTACACTCATTATGTTTAATACATTCGCGGCGATGTTACCCACTGGTGGGCCACACTATAGAGTGGCCAAAAGTTCCTTTAGCGCAGAAAATATTGAATATCTCTGCCACATTTCGACCAAAGGAGCTAATTCATTTAGTATTGATAAAGGAATGATTATTGGTCATATCCATAAGAGAAACATTGATAAAAATCGTTTTGAAGTATTACGATTGTCATGAATAAAGAAATGAAATTTTTGATGACTTATGAACAAATACTATTCATATCGCCGCGAATGTGTTAAGAGAACTTATGGAAGTGTGTTTATAAATGAAAGACTTTCAAAAAAATAATAGATTTCATAATTTCTTCATAGAGTTGAATGGGTACAACAACAGTTAAGCTGTCGATACTAGCACCTAGCATAAAGCACAAGTTGAAGAAATACAAGAAAATAATTTTATTTGAATACGTGCACATTCACATAAAGGATCTTTAATTTGAATTGCCTTGAACTTGTTTATTTAGAATTTAGTGCAAGAAGAATATCTGTTACTTAAACATATTGGATGCTATCAAAACACACATGACTAGCACAATTATTTTTAAGTATGGCTGATTTGGTAGGCACCAATGGTACTAATTCTAATCTGCTTTGTGGTCCTGATGATTTGGCTTTGGACTCAATGAATATTTTCATCATTGATGACATGTACAATTATTGTATTCGACTCTGGCCAAAAGATGTATTAGTAGGCTCAACCATTGCTAGTCAACTAAATAGAATATCCGGTGCAACTTCGACTCATCTCATATATTCTGTAAGTATAGCAATCGACGCGAATGATAGTGTATATGTAGTTACACAATGCAATCATCGAATTTCATATTGGAACAACAGTTCATCGATGAGTATCTTAGTTACTGATTATTGTAAACATATCGGATATGTGCAAGGGAAAGATTTGTATCAAAAACTGTTTTCTGAACTTTTTCTATAGGTTTTTATGCTGGAAAAACTTGTAAGAAAAATGCTGCTATACTGTTAACTAATTATTACCAATAAAATTTGTGACATAAGACTGTATTTTATATATAACTATGCTTTCAGACACTAATTGTTCTGCAAACAATCAACTGTGCGTTTTTTTTGCAGTATGTCGCGTGATGTGAATACGGACAGACTTTATATAGCCAATACAGACAATCATCATATAATGATGTACTTTAATGGTAATTCATGTAGGATGATGATTGCTAGTAGAACTGAATCGGAGACTAGCAACTTTTGGTTATTTAATCCTTTCAGTGTTTCTTTTGATTTAGTATCGAACGACCCTGCCAGTGCAAATTTCTATGCCCATAATATTGTTCGTTAGCTATCGGATGCTACTCAATGGATACATATTTCTGATGACATTAGTGGCACAAGTGGTTTCACATCGACAATGCTTTGAAATTCTACAGAAGCTACTTTAGATCCCTTAGTAATATTTATGTAGCAGATTCATAGAACAATCGCATCCAATTTTTCTTAGTTGGTGAAACAAATGGCAGCACGATTGTTGGTCAAATAGTAATAATGGGTAGTACCTCAGACCTGTTAATTCATCCTTTCTCAGTTATCATTGATAATCAACTTAGTTTGTATGTATCTGATCTTAGCAACAACTGTATACAAAATTATGTTCGTTATTGATGAAATTTTTATCAATCGATCGAACAGTTTCTTCAATTTGGATGTGTTTAGTGTCGAGATTTTTAATAAATTACACATATAATTTTAGTATCAAACAATACTTACTATATCATCTCGTCGTCCAATATAAAATCAAAAAGTGATCAACTGAACTACAAATCTTTCTACTATCTAACTTATCTAATTTTTTCTCAATATAATCTCCTCAAATTCATTTATACTTCGTATTTATTCTATTAAAATATTTTTCAATATTTCTCATTAGCATATTTTAATCATATTCATTAAGAATTAGCAAAATAAGATATTTTTTTTTAATTTGAATTGAAACATATTCTATCACCTCATGCTTTTTGTCCAATCAATATTTCATTTGAATTCATTTTAATTTTCTAGAATTTCTATGCTTTGATATATATATATGCACATTTGCAAAGTATGTTTTGTTTTACTTTAAATTGAACGAGGTTCTTATGCTCTATTTATTTTATTTTTATTTTTAAATTATGCTCTATTGTCTTGTCATACTGTCCATCAAGTTCAATCAGTCATGAATATGACCTTAAATGAATACAATAAAATTGATTGTTATCGTTCAAATTTTAATCAATCAATTTCAATTCAAAATCTATTTCGATCACATTCACAAGGTGGTATATCAAGTGTTGAACTGAAAATATAATGTAATTCAAAACTTGAACGAGTTTGTTTTTACAGTACTTCAATACAACGATAATTATCATCATCTGAACCATCTTGTATTTTTTTCATTCAATAATGGAAATAATATTCAATAATATAAAAATAATTCAATTAATAATAAATCTCAATAAATGATTTTATCAATTCAAATCTTTTCTTTGTTTTTCAATTATTAAAAACAAAGTAAAAAAGAAAAACAAACAAATTTTGTTTTGAATTATGCTAATCATTTTCCAAAATAGAATTCAATTTCAAACACGTCAATATTATTTGATTAATCATTTTCTAAAAGAAATAGTAATTTTATTTCAAATGGTTTTCCAATAGAATCAAAGGATAATAAAACGTAGAGTTAAGAATTTTCATTGAAAACATTTCTATAGCGAAGACTCCATGCTTTAAAATATATTTTATTTAGTAATAACGTCTCTATTGAATCGTCAGTCTATTTTTTTAAATTTTATTTAAAAAATTCACAATATCACAAAATTTAGCTTGTATATTATATGAGTACATATGTTTAACACCAATATTTCATTGGAATTATTATTTTAATTCAACATTGTATATTTATTCTTCATGTCGTTATAGCTCAATTTCGTCAACATAATCAATAAATTAAATTTATGTTACAAAAAAGTGTCTTACATTGGTCTACTGATAATATTAGTACAATATAAAATAATAGTAAATTTATTATAAATAGTAGTTTTGAATCAAATTTTAATGAATAGATAATAATAATATTATCAAGTACAACATCACTAACATATGTTCATAATTAACTTAGGTCTTTACGTACAGACTCAGGAGAAAAGTTCTTCAAATTGATTAATCATTTTTCAGCCGAGAGTATGTACATCATTTAAACTCAAATAAGCTATGAATACCCTGCAAAGAGTTCGTGCCCTGAACTTGGTGCTGTGGAGATACCACACTTTTGCAGTATTTTTAAAATGAATACTGTAGTCTCCCCTCAGAAACACTAGAGAAAAAACTGATTTTTTAATTTTGACTTGAAATTACGCGTAGAGACAGGCCTTAATGAGAATAGTTTTTTGTTACTGTTTTACATCTTGCTGCCGTTCCTGTCCTAAAATACAACTATGGTAAAAGCATGTCTTCTACATTGTCCGTATATACCAACAGATTCGATATTCGTATTTCAGGATAGGAGCAAATCAAAAGATCTAAAAATTTCACAATAAACTCTTCTTGATAAGGCCTGCCTCTGTGAAAAGTTTCAGATCGAAATTTGAAAAATAAGTTTTCTTTGTATTCTTGAGATGAACTGTGATATTGAATTAGAAAAATATCATATTGTTACAGTGTCTCTGCAGTAGTAAGCTAAGGACCCAGATTCTTTGGAGGGTATTCCTACCTCATTCTATTTTCCATGATGCACAATAGTTACAACTAAAATGCAATTAATCATTTAGGGCACTTCTTTCACTAGCTTATCTTTATGGTGGATCACAAAATGTATCAACTTATTTCAAACAAACATTTATTGTTATTCAAGGACAAAAAAAAATAAACAATCGTTTATAATAGGTGGATGGAGAAAGTTCTGTATATATTCCAAAAAAAAAATTTGCCAAGTAACTGTTACATTAACATAAAACAATTTCGTATATTTCTTTTTTTTTTAAATTTATTTTGTTTCAATCAGTAAAATATCAATTCATAACGACTTGACTTCATGTTTATCATTTTTGAGCATAACTAAGGAGTAAGTGTTACAATTCCTTCACATATATCATTTGCACCACCCACACCACCTTCATCTAACCACCAGAAACTAACATTCACATTTTGACCTTGAACAACATTAAAAGTTTGTTTTATATAATCGGGTCCAGACACTGCTTCTGAATAAAGATACGCTGAACCAAAACGTGCTGCACCTGGTGCAACATGTGCGTAAGATGTTACTGAAAGATTCGTTGAAGGTATCACTGTCCATCCGGTTAAATTCGATTCAAAACCACCATTAATTATAAGTTCACCATTACTCTGTATCATACTGACCTCATCGATATACCAATGACTAACTTGTTCTTGAAGTTGAAATTGAATTGTCAATTGAGTTGATACTGCTAGATAACAACAACTATAATAAACATATGATGATGATGATCTGGTACAGTTATTTGTTCTACTCCAAGACAATATTGGTGTTGGACACGTAATACCACCAGTTGTACATATAGAAATTTGAGTAGTGGTTGTTACAGCTGTCAAAGAGATTTTATTTGCAATAGCTATAAGATCATTGAACATGCTTACTTGACGATAAAGTAGTTGTGTCTAGTTTAAAATAAATATTCATGAAAGACAAAAGAAAAACAGAATATTTGAATTATATAAAAATCTTACTTGTATCTGTTGAATCTAAAAATTGAAGATTATGAAATATAAAATAAAAAATAATTTTGCTTACTTTTCGATCGATTAATTACATATATGACTACACCAATAATACATCCAATAATTAAGAATAAAATAAGAATACACAAACTAAGTTTACAAAGCGATAGATTAAATTTTTTTTTCTTCTTTTTTTTTCGATTCCTATTCATTTTTATTATAAACGATATTTGCAAAAGAAAACATTTGAAATATACCTTTCATCAGTATGTAGTATAAAATCATCTTTAAATAAAACTTCACTGTTAATAGGATTTATTTGATGATTACGACTTAAGAATCGATGAGTATTAGACATATCAAAATATGTTGTTGAATTGATAATTGAGTTAATAGGAAGACAATCTCGAACAAGATTAGATAAAATTAATTGATTTTTTTCTTTTTTTGTTGGTGTAGAGATTCGATTATCTTGTATATTATTATTAATATTATTTTGTTTCCAATTGATGAGCGTTTGACTCATATTCGATGATAATGCTGAACGACGATATCTTGATACATTAGAAGAAAAATCACGATTCGAACTTAATTGATGTATAACATTAGATTGCATTCTTTTCGAACGTCGTCGTTTTGATCGATTCAAATGAAGATGTTGTTTAATGTTTTGTTTTTCAGAATACAATCGTTTGGAAGACTTTTTACGAGATATGCGTTCTATTGTTGTTTGGGAAAAATCTCGACTTATTTTCATTATAGAATTCTTTATTGTAAAATTCAATTAAAAGCATATGTATGATGGAAAGTTGATATATAAATATATTTTTGTTGAAGAAAAATTTTTATAATAAAAAAAAATTCAATCAGAAACAAAAAAAAATTCAATTAGAAATAAAACAAATGAGACTTATACGGCATTCACATACATAATATATACATGGATGTAATGAAGACAAAACAAAGTAGAGACACAGTCGTCATTAGTCAATCATTATGGAAGGATGCAAAAAAGAATTTCTGAGCTCAATTGATTCTGATGACGAAAACGATAATTTTTCGAAAGTAAAAAGTGAGCAACCAATCACCAAATCCCTGAATGTATGTAATCTAAAATGAAGACAGAAAAGTGCAAGCATCTACACCATACGTTACGCCCTTTGATCATATTTTGCACTACTTTTTATTATTCAAATTTAACATGAAATTCATATTACATTTTAAAAAGCAATTAGAATATAGCAATAGATCAATACACTTTTGAATATATCATATTTTGTACGGACTCTAGACTTAACTGAAATATGATAAATAGAAAAGTTTATTTTGACTGTATTTTAATAAAAGATTTTGAGTATTCAATTAAACATACATTGTTGATATATATATATATATCGGTATGTGCATAAATATACCGATTCATAATTAAACAAATGAGTTATACTTGTGACTAGATAACATTCACGAGGGATACTCGTGATTCTCTAGTGAGAATAGATGAAAGAAACAGGTCGATAGATAATCATGAATATTCTATCACAATTTACAAAACTAACAAATAAAATAAAAACAAACTATGCACAAACTTGAGAAATTGACAGATTTAATATGTCGAATTATTCTCATCTACTTATTTTATTTCCTTAATCGATAAATTGCTTTGTAATTTCTTTTTTTTTTCAAGAAAAGCAATAGACATCAATGTGACAATTACTTTTCAAGAAAGAAAACAATTGCCAATCTCTTTTTAAACATAATGATTGTCTGAGTCGAGCTTAACACTGTACCAATAACATAATGACAAGTGTGTTAAACAGGAATATAAAAAAAATAACTAGTTACAATAATAACACGAGATTGTTTGTATATCATCATCATCATCATATTGCCTCACTAAAGTTCATCGGTCTCGTCGAAATATGAAATGCCTGAATAGATGCGAACAAAATAAAATGAGTAAGATTGTTCTTTTATTATCTATTATTTTAACATTCTTTTTTTGTACGGACATTCGTCATGGATTACGCCATTATTCGGTCCCAAAACATACAACATGTACGAATCTTGTAGTTCATTAGAACAAACTACTGAACACGATAGAAAGAGAGCAAAAATCTCTCGTTTTCTTTCTCTTTTCGCTCATATAAAAAAAAGAATACAAGAAAGAACGAGACCAACACAATAAGAAGAGAGATGGAGAAAGATTTTTTTTTCCTCTGTCGATGAGAAATAGAAAAAGAGAGAAAGAGATGTATGTGTATGTGTGTCTCTCCTCTTCCTCTCTCCCTCGCTCTCTCTCTCTCTCTCTCTCGTCTAATGTTCAACACACATACATATAGACACACACATAGAAAAATTATCATTCTTCATCGTCACTTGTCTCAAAAGAGATACAGTTGAACTGATGGATCTCGAACTTCGTTGTCCATCATGTAAAGAATATTATCGTTCACCTGTTTATTTACCATGTACACATTCTCTATGTTATACATGTGCATTGACTATAATTCAAACAACAAATGAACATCATCACAATCAATCTACACTTGATATATCATCAACATCTTTTGCATCCGATCTTGATAAACTTTCTTTAACAAGTGACAATGATTCAGGTGTTATTATAAATCGACATTCACCATCATCATCTAGTTCAACATCATCATCATCATCATCATCATCATCAATATCATCTTCCAGTCGTCCATCAAGTTTACTTTTACCACCAGCTTTACCTGAAATATCATCAACATCATCATCATCATTTTTACCAACAATACCTATTCGTCATCAAACAAATAAATCATATACAACTTGTTTACAATGTCCTATATGTTCAAAAATAATTTTTATGGATATATCGGGTATAAAAAGTTTACCAAAAAATCGTCTTCTGGCTGATATTATTAATCGTTATCTTGGAGAAAAATCTTCCGAACAACAACAAAAACAACAACAAACACCGAAGTGTCAATTATGTCGACCTTCAGAAGAACGAACAATCACACGTATCTGTGAACAATGTCGAATTGGATATTGTGATCAATGTCGTGAACAATATCATCCAATGCGTGGTCCATATTCAAAACATAACTTTCTCGATGCATTACAACAATTTTCAAATAATTCGAATGAAAAAATCTTTTGTCATGAACATACAAATCGTTTAGCAACTAGTTACTGTCTTCATTGTCGATTGGAATGTTGTCAACAATGTTTGATACATACAAATCATGATATTGTACCTATTCAACAAGCAACTAAACTATATAAGGTAAATTGAAGGTTCCCTGATTGCATGTTAAAAGCGGAAGTCGTCCTTTCTTTCTTTTTTAATCAACTCTCGTCTGTCTGTCCAGTTTAGTTCACTATAGTCCAGACAAAATGCTTATCACGCACAGGCATACGGTCAAGATCACATCCGTCTTCTTGCTTTCTCAAGAGAATGGTCAGTTAGCCCTGAGGCGTCCTTCTCGCGTTTTTTCTTTCTTTCTTTTTTTTTTTTATAACAAAAAAGAGAAGAATTAAATTCGAACGACGGACACACATTTCCGATCCTCACGAGACAAAGACAAAAAACAGGAAATGTGCTGACTAATGTCTTTTGCTTTTTATAATATTCCAAATAGTTGAACATGTTGCCTCTTTTTCCCACTCGTATATATATATATATATATACTTGAGCGCATCTGTTGTCACTCGAGCGAGAAGACAAAAAAAAGAATTTGTTTCAACTGATGACCCTGAGAAAGACGAAGGCGTTGGCCTGAGTGCTCACGCGTGCGCATGTCATAAAGATCAATCGTACATACTATCAATTCAATATTCAATCATAACAATTCATCTCATTGTTTTTACATTTTTCAAATGATGATCGATGATAGTAACGACATATTGTTTTTGAAAATTAACGAAGCAAATATATTTATATATACCGTCTTAAAACATCCTTTGGGATTTAATATTAAATAGTCTTTGAACTTTTCACCTGTTACATAACTTGGCATCATGAAAGACATTTGATTCAGTTTTCTTTTTCTTTTTCTTTTTTCCTCTCTCGGGTATGTATATGTGAGTATTCATCTAATCTGACCATTGTCCCTTGTCTATCATCATCTCGTTTCACATTTTTTCATTATTAATGAGAAAAAAAAACGGAAAAAGAATAATTCTACTTCTCTTTTTTCAATTAGTGATGCAAACAATGGGAATACGACCGGATGACCACTCTCGTTCGAGCGGCAAGATTCTTTTTGATGACCGTACATATGTGTGTGTGTGTGTGTGTGTGTGTGTGCTATCTAAACTATTATTGTTCCAGCACGAGGTGAAGTGTCGTTTTTTTTCTTCCTCTTTTGTTATAATACAAACTTCTAGATTTTTTGTTCCGCTTGTCTTCCCAAGAAACATTACTATGTAAATTGAAAAAAGTAGGATGATGCAATCAACGGATATGTATGTGTACGCATAAATCACTTTCTTTTTTTTTCGAATTTATAATGTGATTCGGTGACACCTCGTTTTTCTTTTTCTATTCTTTCCATTGTGAATCAATCAATCTTTAATATTATTAACTAAAAAACAAAAAAAAATTTAATGTCTGTCCTTGTGTCTAGACTCAATTGTCATCGCAACTACAATGCTTATCGGAAAAAGCCAAATATGGTGCAGAATTTCTAGCCAAATTGAAGTTATATCCAGACTATATCAAGGTAATTTACTTCTGATAAGATCGGATCATTCTTCTTCTTTATATGATCGAACAACTAGAAGAAAAAGAAAGTCGAAGACAGCTAGCAGGAGGTTAACATAGATAGAGATAATCAAGGCAGATGGTCAATCGTCTAGTCATTTATTATTGAAGGTCATATTTAGTTCATATATTTATTTTATCATTCGATTAAATAAATTGATCCAACTGAGAAACATATTAATAATCAAATTACCTGATATTGTTCTGATTTTAATAGTGTAAGAAAAATAAATCTGATCTCGTTTTTTTCTTTTCGTTCGAGAATGGCTAATGACTATTAGTCGTATGCTTCATTAGATCCATCATTCAAACAAAATAACCTTGTTAGAAGAATCTCGTTTTTTTTTCTCATCTATGTCTCTCAAGAGATGTGCATGTTGGTTGTGAATACATGCAAGGATAAGAAGCTAAAGTAACGTAACAACATCATCATATTTCTCTTGATAAAATCATTTCAATGATGAAGACGATTGAATGAACAAATCCATCAAACAATAAAAAAAAAAAAGAAAACTATTCTCATGAGAATGATTTAAGTATTTCTTTTTCTCTTTTTTTTTCCTTACAGAAAAATGGTGAAATATTTGAAAAAAATTTAATCAAAGATATTGATAATCTTATTGTAACACTTGAAAATAAAAAACAAGAATTATTAAGATATATAAATAAAGAAATTGAAAGAAAAATCTCTTTAATACATCAACAATATTCAACATATAATGCACATATACAAAGAACAACAGGTTTTTTACAATTTTCAATCGAAGCATTAAAAGAATCCGATCCATATGCTTATCTTCAAGTTCGTCATTTTTTTTTGAATAACATTAAAAAGATTTTTTTTACTAATATAAAATATTTTCTTTTAGATATGTCATGGTTTAAATAGTAAATGTTCATCAATATATGGAAGTTTTTCGGATGAATATGAATGTAAAGCACATACATCATATGAATTTGATTTTACATTTAATACAGAATGTCTTTATCGAGAAATTCATCGTTTACAATTTCAACAAATAAAACGTAAGAGAAAAACAAAACAAAAAAAAAATCTATTTATTTATATATAAACAAATCATCCGAACTAATATTGTCTAATCAATTTATATTTGATAAAAGAATTTTCTCGATTGAACTTCTGTTTTATACAAAGAAACAATTAGCATGTTCTATCTATATTTACCCAGACACAACGTTCATCTAAACACTAGAAATATAAAGTTACAACAGACATCTTTGCGGTACATTAATGCTCATATAACCTAGTTTTTTTTTTTTTGATCAAGACAGAAATTTTTTTTTGATAAACGAGACAATGTATAAACAAAGAAAAGAAAGAATATAATACATCTGTCAATACTCTCATCCTTGTTTTAAGTTACATCATATAAATAATTTGCAGATTTTGTTTATTTTAAAATTGAAATACGAAAAAAAAAATATTATCAATTGTTTAATGACTGTGATGAATTATTTATAGATTAATGAATAAATTGACACATGTTTTATGTTAATTTGAGCTTGAAAAGAGATTTCCGGATAATATTCTATTGATTGTCTTTTTCTTATTCTTACATATGTCTCATATTATCAATATGATCAGTATTGACCTTGATTTCTTTTCTTTTCTTTTTTTTGAATAAAGATAAAAAAAAAGATTTTATCATCTAAAGGAAATACTTATTCTTTTTTATATGATGTTAAGAGATTTCTCATGGTAACTGCAATGTACGGATTTCCTTTCATGCCTTTCAAGGTTCCTTTTTTTCCTCCCTAGTGAGAGAATAAGAGAGTTCGATTAACAATAAATGAACAATGCATTTAATATGTGTCTTAATCGAATGAGCTAATATTGACGTTGTATTACGTAAATTGATGTTCTTCATCTCTTTTTTTTTTAGCACCCTTATCTCCTCGTTTTATTGCCGAACAATGTCTATGTCATGATGAACAATCGGGTACCATATCTGGAACGCTTGCATGGTCTATGCGTGACGTTGGAGCTATACAAGGTTTTATTCTTGAATTAGATGATGGCACATTTGCATCAGACTTTCGGGTAAAAGAAAAAAAAAAAGAAAAAAAACATTTTTTGAATAAATAATGTTTTTTTTTCTCTACAGGAAGTATATGATGGTACTGAAACAATGTGTGCAGTTGATGGACTTCTTTCAACTAATGTGTATACAGCGCGAGTAAAAGCTTACAATCAAGCAGGTGAAAGTGCCTATAGCGAATGTATAACGCTTCATTCATCTTCCGGTATGTAAACAAATCAAACAGGATATTCATAGGTTTTTTTTTGTTTTGGGATTTCTTTTTTCTCTCTAGTTTATTGGTTTACATTTAATCCTCGAACAGCACATCCGGATATACAATTTCTATCAAATTCATCATCATTAACAAACGATAATCATTATAATTTTGATTCTATAACATGTCTTAGTTCACAAGAACGTGTTGCACTTGGTTCAAGAGGTTTTCGTAAAGGTATACATTATTGGGAAATAACTATACAACGTTATGATGATAAACCTGATCCAGCATTTGGTGTTGCTCGTTTTGATGCTTTAAAAGAACATATGCTTGGTAAAAATTATATAAAAAAAAAAAACTTTCTATTTTCTATTTAAAAATTTTTTTTTTCTTTTTTTTTTCGTAGGTAAAGATTCGAAATCATGGTGTATGTATATTGATTCTCAACGTTCATGGTTTATGCATAATGGACAACATACAAATCGTATTAATGGTGGAATAACTGTGGGTTCAGTAATTGGAGTTTTATTAGATTTAAATAATGGTACATTAAGTTTTTATATCAATGATGAACCACATGGTCCAATAGCATTTTCAAATTTAACACAAGGTGGTGTTTATTATCCAGCTGTTAGTTTAAATAAAAATGTTCAATTAACACTTGTCTCAGGACTTGATCCTCCAACACAAACACATGAATTGTAGTTATATAGATATGAAATTTCTTTTTTTTTTTTTTTTTTTTTGTTTTTCGTTCGTTGTTTCGTCTTGTGCTTGTTTTATGTATAAGTAAACTTGTATACAGATGAAAAAAAAGGAAAATAAATTAAATTATTATTAAATTCAAAATTGAATTACATTTGTAGAGTTTCTATAATTTTATAAAATCAAATGACTTTCATCTTTGAAAATTTTTGATTGATTAGAAAGAGAATAGAGACGTCACTTAATGGATAGTCATACATATATGTGCGTATGTTGTTTTTTTTTTGTTTGAACTTATTTTATGACGTTCGTTATTTTTATGAGCTATTCAATTGTGTTTGTTCAGTCCTTTTTCTTTTTGTTTCATTTCTTTATATTTTTCATTGATTGATAACGATAGTTGTTATTCATTTTTGACCTATACAAACACATATTTCTGTCACGCGTTCGACACGGATGAAAAAAGAAACGACTTTAAATCGATCGGGTCAACCATTAAACGCCCCGTTTGAACACAAGAAATGATGATGTATGACTATACGATTACGCCCTACAGTCTGTCTACTTGTTGTCGGCGACGTTTATAAATATAAAAAAAGAAGTCCGAGAATTCGAACTAAACCAAAGTATCTACTTAATATAGAGTAATAAGAATGTGATAACAATATATGTATATATATATATGAGTATGACATCAAATATTGACATGTAACTTATCGATTTGTCGTCATCATTGATAATTTTTAATGTGAAACAGCTCTATACGATGAGAATCAGCTGCATCACTCAGTGTCTCATATGTTATCGATTGTATAAATAAGATAGAATTGGAATGTACACGAAAAAAAAAAACTAATAATTGATCTCTATCACGACATGTCAATCTTCATTTATTGTGATGATTGAATTTTTTTTGATTATTTATATTAGAAAAAAAATCCTTGACTTTTCATTCTTGAAAATCTATCAGGGTGTGTCCGGAACTGGACGAGCAATCGAATTGCTGTCAATGTCAAGTTCAGTTCAATTTGTCACACAATGAATTAAATGAATTTTCTTCTGTCTTTTTTCTCAAATCATTAGTCTGAAAACTGATCATCATATTCATTCTTTTCAATCAATATCTAAATGTGTTCATCTATAACTATACACCCTAATCATAGGATGAACGATACACATTGATGATGATTGACAGTGCGTGACCTTAACCGGGCGCATACGTTTAACGTCAAAAACAATAGTCTTTCTATAAATGGCTGTTTCTATTTCCCACGAGTACAATAAATAAATGGTTATAATAGCACGTGGACTAACATTATCAATGAGAGTAAATGATGACAGATCCACTCTAATCAACTACTGACTACTCTAGTGACATATCAATCAAGGACAAATGAAAAAAATTGAAGTGTCTGTCAGGCAAATAGTGGTACTTATCATTAACTCATTTTATATCTAATATTAAAAAGTCAGAAGGTGATGATGTAAAATAAGAAAAAAAAAACCGAAAGAAAAAACAAGATTTTTATTGGAAGAAAACGATCAATTTTCATAAAGACACCACAGTTCATGTTGCTGCCATAGACGATCAATTGAGTAAAAAGTAGCTTGAGGCGAAGTCAACAACACACGTACCTTTTTTTTTTTGCAATTCAATCTTCAATGATTTCTTTTTTTTTCAGTTAATATAAAAAAAGATTGTAGT